ATTCTGCATGAGTGACAATGTTTTTATGCACAATAACAGGTAATGTTGGCCTTCACAAATTGCTCATTTTTATTAACTAGGGATTTAAAATAGCTCTCCTAGTAATGATATAGTTGGTTTTATTTTTTCTGGCAGCAGTGATGCCATTGTTTTTCTGCATGCAATATGTAAGTTGAAGTATTTTGCTCTTAATCAGCATTCTAGCCATTGGTGGATGACTCGCTGTAATTTTCCATTACAAAAGTGTTATATGGCACTCAATGGATTGATGCTATATTACACACACAAGATGAACACTTGTTGCATCATCATGCACCCTCTAGACTTTTACAAGTGGTTATGATTTATAACCAGCAGAAATGAATGAGCCATTAAATAAACAGAGATTTGAGGTTTTGATTTTATATGTATTTTTAGACAAACCGGAAGGTGCAAGGCTCACTACCAATGCTTCACAAAATACTGTCACTGAAGGAGACTCAGTTACATTCAAGTGCACAGTTATAGCTGCTGTGCCACTAGTGTCAATTTACAAGTTCTATTTCAATGGCCATCTTCTTAGTAATAACAGCAACAATGAGTATACTCTCAATAATGTCACTCGATCTCAACACGATGGTGAGTACAAATGTGTCCCACATAATGACGCTGGAGATGGAGCAGAAGTCACTGTAGGACTTAACATAAATGGTGGGTAGAAACATCTTTGAGCATTTTTTTGTACTTTGGACTTATAATCCAAAATAGGAAAAACATTTTTTACCAGTTTACATTGTCAACAAAACTCCCCACATGGTGAATCATTACAACCCCAAACAGGGTAGAATAGAGACCCTGGTAATGAGGTTGATGTGTTGTGCCTGCTCCCCCAACAGGCTTTTCCTGAGAGTAATGGGAATGGGTGCAGAGTGTGAGGTGGGTGAGGGGAAGGAGGAAAAAGTCCAGAAACAAGGCAGATGTTGTGTGGCTTTACAGACACCTTTGCATTGCTCTCCAGCTTAAGAGGTGTCTCCCTCGCAAGCACTACTCAGCTTGCCACACAATGCTCTTCCCCAAGGTACTTGGGAAAAGTGCCGGTGAAGGATGCCTGTCCTGAAAAATGAAGCCGGTACTTAATAATAAAGGGGTGCCTAAAAGCAAAAGTTGGGTCTCATAATAATGAATGGGTGCCTAATAATGATGGACTTGTGCCTAATGGTGTTTGACAGGTGCCTAATAATGATGGACAGGTGCTTAATCATAAAATTACAGGTGCCTAATGACAAAAACCAATGCCTTATTGTGATGAACTTGTGCTTAATAATAACAAAACAAGCCTAACAATGATTCACAAGTACATAATAGAAACAAAAGAATTATTTGGCAGAAATGGCACCCCATGCATTTGTTTTGTTAACCTACTGTAGATTGTTTTCAGACACAAGAAGTCGGTAATTTTGTGTAGCTGTTGGGGAGCCTTTAAAGTTGTACATTTAAGAGTGTAGCGGAATACCTGGAATTTAGGTACAAGTTTGAGATTAATCCTAGGTCTGATTGTATTTTTTTGTGAAAAAAAGACCAAATTATTATTTTAAGGCAATTGTCCTGTGTCTGCCAAAACTGTAAACTTATGCTTTTCATTAGAGTATTTAAAACTGATGCAAATTCTGATTAGCTGATAAAGTGAAAATTTGTTTCCTTTTTTTGATATTTTTCATGTATGTGCAGCATTTTATAATTTTATCACTATTAATAACATATGAAGTGGATAATTTTGAACCAAATTGCACTCTAATGTTATGGTGTGAACATGTTGTTGTTCCTCTCCTCTTGCCCAGTTCCTGTCCAGTTTACAGAAGTGCCACAGAATAGAACAGTTAATACATCAACTCCTCTGTTTTTACGTTGTGATGCCTTGGGTTTTCCTGAACCTAAGATAAGATGGGAAAAATCTGGGATTAATTTGTCCCACACCAAACAGCTGAACATCACCCGTAGTAACAAGAATGATGCAGGAGAATATGTTTGCACCGCAAGCAATGGAGTGAGACAGGAAAAGACAGTAACAGCTTATGTCACTGTGCAATGTAAGTCTTCATTTCAGTATGTCATAAAAAGCTGCCACTGCTGCTGAATCTATGATTCAGTCAAACCTATATAGAGCAGCACCATATTAAGCTGTCACCCTGTATTTAGTGGTCAGTCGTCAAAGTCCTGAATTTATTTCCCCCCAGTCACTATAATTTTCTCCTCTATTGAGTGGAAACCTCTATTGAGTGGTCATGGTCACCTTTATTGTCTTCCACCTGTAAGTCACATATATTGGGACCAAGTATGTTTAGTTTGGGTATCAGCATTTGTAAGAACACTATGCACTACTTAAAGCTTGAGCCTGAGTATTTAATGCCATCCAAATAAGATTACACATTACGATGTGGTAGCTACAGCAAAATTATAAAATCACATAATTCTTAACAAAGGACGTAAGGTTACAGACTTGCCTGTGACAACTTTTTAGAGCTTAAGGTACAAAGAATAAATAGGGTAAACAGTTACAATTAATGCAAAGCTGAAAGGTATTACAACCATAAAACCTGATGCATCGTTGCAGAAATAGGTCAATTACAGTACCGTACTGCCTTAACTTTTCCTATAAATTAATGCTTCCAGGAAATCATTAGTTTTTGTCACTAGGTGGCACTGTACTCACAGTAGTTCTGCCACATTCAAATGCATTTTTATTTCAGTTACTGTATCTCATGATATGAGATACAGTAGGTCATATGGATGGTACATTCCTGCATGGGGACTGACATATTAATTACCTCAGCAAACTGCAGTCATCAGAATTACAAGCCGAGGTGTATTTACCAAGTGCTCAACTTTCCAAATTAATTGCCTAATTGTTATATTTACACTCAAGTTCACCCTTTTTCAGGGCCATCTTCAGCTGGACCATCCTGTGACTTGTAAAAACATCAAATGTTAATCACATGTTCAAATAATTCACAGAATCAAGTTTTTATAACCTGCTTCCTTTGATTGTGCTCAAAAAAAATAAATTACATGTAAGAGAAAGTAATAAAGTTACTGAAAAATCATGAGATTACGTGTTAATAATATACATGGAGAAATACGAGATGGCTTATCATAATTAAACATAAGCAAAGCGCGCGCGTCAAGTGCAAAAATAATTTATTCAAACCTTGCGTTCGGTCAAAACAACCGCGTACGATCAAAACAATAATAAATTATGCAATGGTGCATAGTTTAAGGTGCAAAAAAGTTCAAAGTCCGGCTAAACAGTTCAAGGAATTGTTATGTCTGTGTCCGAATCACTTTCGATGAAATGGAATCGTCGTTTCCGAGGTTTAACCATGTTTGTTTTTAACTTCGGCGTGTGATTGCTCGAGCAAAGTGTTAAGCTGGGTCGGCTCATAATTTTCGATTTCCTGGGCAATTCCCTTCTCTAAACACCACTTTTTTTCAAACCGACAACCAAAAAGCAGTGCTTTTTACAGTGTTTTCGTTGTTTAAGCTGTTTTTCAGCTGCGGTGGCGAAAGAAAGCCTACTTAAAACACCGGCCATTGTTTCGCTCGCAAATTTTCAAATTTTCAAATTTTGTTGCGACATCCAAGGCTCGCATTTGATTGGCTATCTGTGAGTTTCTTTGATTATTGACCAATCAGAATGTCTGATTTGTTTCTTTCTTTGCACTGAATTAACCCTCTTCTGCACTGAATTAACTCTCTTCTGCACTGAATTACCTGAAAACTGCATTTATCTTAACCAATCAGAACTAAGTAATTTTTCAATGTATATTATTATATTTGAAAACATTTGTGAAGCTATAATTATAACCACCTTTTCATGTACACAAACCATATTGAAAAATATGATATGAACAAATTTAATCTCGCCAAGTTTGAATGTAGAATCCAAAATGTAATTAACTTGCAGATGAGTAGGAAAAACCTCCATGTGTTTTTCTTCTTACTATCATAATTGCCTGAAATTTGTGCATTAATTATTCGCTCTGTCTATACGAATTTATCCTTGATGATCACATACGAAATTCGATGAATTCAACACAAACTAATTGGTAGTGTACATAAACGGATTCACAAATTGCAAACAGATAATGTGAAAACTGCTTTTGAATTTTAAAACTATAAACAACAGCTACTTCGCTTACCATGTGGTGCTTGTGAGCACAACTCGATCCGTTTCAATACGCGATCACAGCTCGGACGCAAAATGCACGCTCGTGACAAAATGCGCACTAGACGAAAAACATCTTTCTCTATTTCTTTATTGAGCGCAAAACTTACCACCCTTTTTTATTCTATTTACAAACACGACGCTATCGACATCGCTGATCCTAGCAGTATGCAGGACGTGTGTCATATATGAACTTCTCAATGAGTCTTGCTCACTAGAGACTCTGTGGCTCAGTGATAGAGCATCAGAGCACGGAATCCAAGGGACTGAGGTTCGATTCCTCATGGGGACTTAGAATTTTTTCTTTGTCTCACGCTCGTGACAAGACGAAAAACATCTTTCTTCAGTTCTTTATCGAGCTCAAAACTTACTATCTTTCTTATTCTATTTACAGGGGATTGATTATTCTACAATTATTTTCAGTTTTAAGAATGTTAGTTTTAGTATGCGAATTACATCCTACGGCCTTGTCTGGGCATCGCATCCATCACATAAGATGTACGCGAAAGAAGAAAACAGCTAGAATTAAACCATTTTAGTGTTATTTGTGTTCTTTCCTGCTTAAAAATTCTCTTCTTTAAAAATCAAATTAAAAAAAAGAAAAAAATCAATGTTTGGATCGTTCAGTGCGGCCATGATGTTGATACGCATTTTTGCTTTGTAATAAAGTGTAATACTGTGGCATATGTGCGGCTTTCATTACTTTACTTGGTAAAATGACGCAGTAGTGGAATGATAAAGCTCGTCAATGTTCTGATTTATATGAAGTATCACCGATTACTTATTGAATTGCTTGTTGCATTTTTATTTATTCTCAGACCCGCCCACAATTCAAAATGTCACCACGTCATCTAAGAAGTCTTGGATTGGCCAGACAGTGACTCTGAAGTGTCTTTCTGATGGTGTTCCTACACCAACGATCTCATGGTACAAACCTGAAGGAAGTGAAATAAACAGAGTCAGAGCCAGAGAAAACAAAGTACAAGTGCCACTCAGGGGTGATCATGATTTTGGTAATTACAAGTGCATTGCTGCCAATGTACTTACTCCATCTGATGAGAAATTAATAAAGATAAATCAGATAAGTAAGTAAAAAAAATCAGTGTATTTTGATAAGAAGAAAACTATACATAAGGTCAGCATTTTCTTTTGCCTTTGCTCATTATCACTGTTTCAGTTGCAGTAGAAGTAAAAGCCAAATGTTCTTACAAAGTATTGGACAGACTGACTTATTCACTTTATACATCTCATTCGATGATTTAACATGTAATACGTGCGGATTTTTCGCAAGGCCCATAGGTGTGTGGAAAAATATAAGCCTATGTTAAACCATCGAGTAAGAGATTCATTATTCCACTATTCTTTCATTCTCTAACAATTTGGCCGTTTATTTTTTGACATACATCCTACGGCCTTATCTGAGCGTTCTGTTCGCTTCTTTCCTCTCTTCAGCAGCGTTACACCTCATATTTTTCGTTTTCGTTATCCCAATGAGGTATAAAGGCGTGATAGTGGAATTTTGCCGGATATAGTTGGCCTGATCTTTTAGTGGAAAATGCACCCATATTTGTTTAAAATATTTAAAGTAAACTGTCGACACCTTGCCCTTTGGTAGCATTAAACGCGTTACCAAAGAGCGTTGAACTTCAGGCAGATTGATGACATCCTCCCATGCGAGTATCCATAGGAAACTTCCTCAACCATGGATACCTAATTTTTCCTCTTTTTATTAGGCTCTTGGCTCAATTTATCCGGTAGCTACGTGTATATTCATTAAAATGTGATAATACATGGACTTGTATTCATCCTAAGTATTGTGACAAAACTCATAATGAGGTAATCACCCCAAAAAATTTTTCCTTTTATTATTATTAGTTTTTTTTTGCTCAACATGGTCTCTTTTTTATGGTAATATGTAGAGAAACCAGGGAAAGCATCCATCCATTCATCAGAATCAGTCATTCAAGCAACTTTTATAACAATAAGATGGACTGCACCAGCTGATGATGGAGGAAGTCCGATTACAGGATACCGAATGATCTTACTAAAGGGTGAAACTGAGGTAGAAAAGGGTGATATCACCGATCCTGGGACGACACATTATTCGTTTCGTAAGTTGGAGAGAGATACCAACTACACGGTGAAACTGTTTTCCAGAAATTTTGTATTCGAGGGAGATCCTACTGTAGGGACGATTAAGACCAAGTTTGAAGGTGAGGAATCACAATTGATGACTGAGCACTTTACACCAATCATTTTGCTGCCAACTTAGATTTTTTGTGAGTGGTCCCAATTTAACATTGTTATCTGCTCGCCACATTACAAGATTTTTTATTTTAAGTGTTTGTCCCCTCCTTAGTGGCCAGTTTCCTTTCCCTTTCCAATAGTTATTTGTGAGGTACTTACGTTTGAAGAAGCATAATAATAAATAAATAACAGGTGAGCGTAGGTGAGACCAACAGACAACCTACGCGGTTACGTTCCGTAAATACGACCTGTTTTATTAAGTAATATTTGCCTTTACCTTTTTTTGATGTTCACGTTTCATAACTTGTTGGTATAAATCAACAACAACAACAGCCGCTAAATAGTGACCTTTGAGTTGGTTGAATGCAGTTTTCCTAAACTCTTACCGGCTATATTCGGAACGCCCAGTAACCAACTATCCCTTTTGACAGTGAGACGACTTTCACACATCGGTTGACCAAATAATTAAAGTTTGAGGTAATGGGCCTTTCATGAAAAACGCTTTTAATATGCCAATCTTATGGGGAAGTGTCGTCAAACAGTTTGTGGACGGTCTCAAAGAATCCTCCGTATATTTTCTTAAAGATAAGAAAAGTACAAGCGAGGAAAACAGAGTGAAAGAAGTCAAGCTATGAGCTGTAACCTGATGAAATAGGAAAAATTACGACGCACGAAAAAAGTTTGTGATAGGTATTAAAAAAGCTAAATCACGAAATTAAACCTCTTGCTTATAATGAAGGTGAATGGATACCGTTTACTGAAATACCTGCCCGCTATATTCAAAGCACTTAAAAAGAATCAAACCTCCTTAGGTCCTATAGCTATCAGAATTTACTACTTCATTTATTGCCATTTTGTGCGCACTTCGGCACACTTACCGTGCTAAACATTCAATTGTTTTACACGTGTAGTACTTCTTGTGTAAAGGCCAGGTTTGGTTTGTTTCAAAACTATGTCACCGACTTACAAATAAGCAGTATTAGCGCCAATTCCAGTCGGTGATACCGTCAGTAAAATTATATTCCTCAGTATATATTGTCAATCGAGGCAAAATGGCGGCATTTTCAAGACTCCCATAGCTTGTTTTGATTTCGCAGGAGTAAGCCCAAACCAAAACAATTAAGTTGCTGTTTTCAGGAAGGTTTCTTTTTAACTTCATCCGGCACATATCTCACTCAAAAAAAAAGTATTGTGCTAACAGGTGTGAATTTATTAACTGAAGTTGAGCAGCCGTAATATGGCTACGAAGTTCGTCGCACCTGTAATTGCTTTAGCGCTTCTTGTCATCACCTCCTCAGTGGGCAAAGCCCCTGGAAAAAAGGGCTTGTTGTCTCGGTGAAAAAACCCGCGTTAGTTTATGTTTGCAGTCGAAAAATAGTAGCCCTGGACGCTCAAATGACTCGAGAGGCGGAGCATGCGCACTCAATTTCCCGCTGTGTCATTGCCAAGTGCCTGTACTAAGTCATGCGCGATGTCAAACTTTGAAAAGCAGAATATAGTTGTACACGAACTGAGTTTCTTTCTGTAATTACGTGACACAAATGAATGGCGAATTGCTACGTCATCTATGCATCAGTCCTTCATTTGATCATATGTAAGTAGCTACTGAATGGCAGTAGAGGTCAATTTATCATTCAAATTCATCTTGTAAATGTAGTATTTGTTTTAAGTTACAACCGACTATCATTTTAGGCTTCTCGTTATTACTTTTTGTCCTTTCAAATTATTTTGAATTCATCTCAGTACTTAACCTAATTTTGCTTGCCATACACTTTCGTTTCAAAAATATCCCAAATAAATCCTCGACAATTTACATATTATTTAATCACTGATAATGATTGTGACCAGATTTGTAACAAGAAGTTGTATAATTATTAGCAACTTCACGCTGTTCGTGTCTTTGACATCAATCTAGGAGCCCCAGATGTGGTCGAAATAGACGAACTGCCGGGTGAAACAACGGAAGATACAATTACCTTAAAGTGGAAGGAGCCAGAAAGTAATGGAAAAGATATTATCATGTATATAGTGTACCAAAGAGTAGTGACTGATGGAAAAGTGGGACAGTGGAAAATAATAGAGAACATCAGCAAAGTTTCTGTGAGAGAATTGAAAATAACGTTGGAGAGAGGAAAGGTGTATCAGTTTGCCGTTACTGCAACTAATGAGCTTGGTGAAAGCCTTAAACAAGAGGAAAAAAACATCCAGCAAGTCAAGGCGGAGAGAAGTATGTTCAAATAAATCTTATTAGTTTATCATTTTCTTCACTTTTTTCAAGCACTCTCCGTGTCATCAACATCGAGGTTTTTACGGGTGAATTCTTCGCTTGCAAGAACCTAAATCAATGAGAAAATATCACTTAACGTCGCAGTTGGTCTTTGTGTGCTAACTAGAGGTCCACTGGCTGATGAACGAGAACTTGTTTTGCAATGGTTTTTGCCACTACATTTCAATTAACAAGTTAATTTGTGAACATATTCTTTTTAAACTTAATTCAATTTTTTCTTCGGTCAATTCCGCAAATGGTTCCCATTTTTGAAAGGCATTTAGGAAATAAGTTTACATAGATCATATGTTAGGTCTCTTGCAAGAAGTTATTGGGATGCTTGGTCATTGTTTTATATAACTATAGCCTGGAATTACAATGAAGTAACCAATAATAAAAAATCGAATACTTTCCAACCTAAAGTAAACCCAAGAAAGAATTACAGCGTCAAGCTATTTACGCCTTGTAAAGAGTTCAATTTTCTAATTTTTTTGTTTTATGTAGAACAAAGTCCCACCAAGGAATCCCAGAGTTCTACAGATAATGAAATGGACACTGCAATATACGCTGGAGCAGCTGCGGCCGGTGTTGTGCTTATTATTGGTGTAATCATAATCATTATTCTGTGGAAACGAAGAAAGGTTTCAAGTCGTGGAAATGGTAAAGTATCTCTTCAATTTGTAACAGTTCATTTACATTTAAAGTTTTCTCTGCGTACCGAGCTGGATTGGATAAAATAGAAGTCTTAAGAGACCACTTGTAAAACTTGTTAGTGAGTCACAATATTTTTTACGGAAAAGAAATTTTAGCCCTGTTTGATAGAGGAGACTTTCACTCACTGGAAACGAATACATGTATTTCTGTGACTCGGTGTGCAAATGTATACTACGACGTACGATGATCGACAATGTTTGAAATTTACAAGTTTTTTCACTTCAAAACATTTTTTCTTCTCTTTAAGAATTTTTTCGCCAAATTTAATTATATTTGTATTTGAAAAAGACAGAAAAAATATGCAACATTTTTCTAGTGGTGGACCAGTGAAATTGCAGAGAAATCGGATTTTTTTAATCGAACATAAAATAGGCCTCATTTCAATACCATTTGCTTGCCACACGAACGAAAACACAAATTTAGGACTGAAAGTGAAAGATGAAACAAATTTTGTAGGAATGTGAATTTGTCGTTAATTTATTGGACTTAACTCTCTCGTAAGCGGACCCCCTCTGAAATTAGAAAAAGTGTCTGCGAGTAGAACTGTCCTCATACGAAAATTACTCCCATAAGCAGACACCAAAGAGGAATAGGACTTGATGTCCGCATACAGGAGAAACAAGAGGGAAAGTAGACCGTGATGAACGTGGCCATAACGTGACACTATAAATGTTCTGTCGAACTCTTGTTAACATCAAACGAACGGGCGGCTTGCTTCCCGCGGACAAACGGAGATTCGACAAAACTAATCCCTACTGTATTGTTGCTCTTGTTGATTTGCAAGTTAAAAACAAATTCCTTTGCCAAGAGTCCACAATTATGCATGGGGTGTCCGCTTACGAGAGAACGTAAACAAAAGAAAATCCAATTTTAACCTCCAAAATTGTCAGCGACTGTGTAGAGAGTGTCTGCTTACGGAAATGTGTAGATACAAAGTTTTACTTGGAAGAAAGAAGTGGAGTTGTCAAGTAGAGCTGTCTGCTTACGAGAGCTTCCATTAGCAGAGAGTTGACTATATGTGTACTGCTTTCCTTTTAGGCGGGATTCGTACGCTTTTTGTGACTGGACATTTGTTTACGCAACAGATCACCCAATACTCTCAGATGCTAAAAATTAATTTAGATCATGTTTTCAATACAAAGAAATTTATCTCCCTTGATTAAAAGATTTAGTCTGGTTCGTCAGTTGTTTTTATTTATAATGTAGTGTAAAAGAAATGATTCGTTGAAATTTAGAACCCGAATAATTCCTTGCGAGCAATCAAAAACAGACGGGTGTAGAAATTGCGTCGCGAAGTTGAAATGGCGGAGATTCATCAATAACATGAGATACTACTCCAACATTAGGTGCAAACCAATCACTCGCGAAAGACGTACGCCAGCAGGAAAATGTCAGTGAGATGGAGTTCTTCAGTAATTGCGATCGCTGGAACTCCAACATCATCGAGATGTCGGTGATCTTTCGTGAGGGATCGTAACGGTGATATTGCCACGATAACAGTGAAACTGTGTTATCGTGGCAATATTGGTGGCTGCAGATTTGCTCAAAGAAATGTTAGCTCGGTTCAGTAAAATACCCCTTGAACTCCGCGCTCGTCCGAAGGAATTCACAAGACCAAAAAGCAGCCTATCAGGGGAAAGATTAGTCTGAGTTCAAGGCAACAGAACCACAAGGTCTTTTGAAAAGAGTGTCTGCCCTTATTAATAGGCACTGAGAAAGTGAAGACTTGCTACAGCCTCTAGGTGAATTTAAGAGCACATTTAAACCGAGAAGAAGTTCTCGTAGCGAGTTTCCTTGTTAGGTAGAATAATTGCAATTTCGAACTGCACAATTTTAACAATTTTAACTCTACAGTTCAACACCTATATAACAGATGAAATGTGTTTAAAACAGTGTGCAACAAGTTGCCTTGATAAATCTCGAATAGCAAAGCGCGTGGGAAATCTAACCAATAAGAAAATGGTACATATATACTTGCTAGACTATAGGTTATCAGACCAAGCTTTTAGAAACCGTTGCGCAAATAGAATGTACCGCGAGTCTGAGAGACATGTCAAGGTGCACGTTAAGCTGAGTTTTTTATCCACTCTATCATTGAGGGTATTTTTGGATGGAGGAAATTTTCTGTTTAACTTACTAGTTCTATTGTGTCAGTCCTCCTCTATTACCAAATATATGCGATCATGGGTTTGGTACTTAACCTTGATGTTATTTGTGAATATATCCATTTTTTTAAGGTTATTTATTTATTTATTGTTTAATTTTACCCTAGATGAAATGCAAATGGACGGGCTGTAAGTACTGGAATAATAATGTGATTTTAACACTACTCTACCTTGACTGTGAATATATGAAAATCATACATTTGAACTGCGGTTTAAGAAATGAATATGAAAGCGATCTTCGCAGTAATGAACGCTATTTTTGCAGTAGTGAAAATAAGGTGTGAAAACCCACCCTCCCTCCTTGCCCTCCCCCCCACTCTCTCTCTCTCTCTCTCTCTCTCTCTCTCTCTCTCTCTCTCTCTCTCTCTCTCTCTCTCTCTCTCTCTCTCTCTCTCTCTCTCTCTCTCTCTCTCTCTCTCTCTCTCTCTCTCTCTCTCTCTCCGGACGACGAGGAGTTTATAACTTTACTAGGAACGAAACATCAGAATAATGAAAAGACATTTTTGAAGATTTGTTTTGATTTGATGGCAGGGGTAGTGCTAATCATTATGAAGTTGACGATGGATATCAGGAGGCTGCTGCGAGTCTTCAAGCCTCGGCTCCTGAGGCTGAGGCTAACTATGCACAGGTGGATATGACGAAAAAGAAGAAGAATAGATGGCCACCAGCTGATGAATATGCCCAGGTGGACAAGTCGAAAAAGACAAAGAAGAGACCCAAGGTAACGATGACATCGAGAAAGGTGTTTTGTCATTGTTGCTATACTTTTGGTAGCACGTTTTTTTTTTTTTGACGTTACGCAGTTCCTTGTCTGAACTTATTTTAGTGAAGGAAAGGCTTTTCGTGTAATCTTTCTTAACCTAACCCTAACCCCTCATCTCGTACTTCGATTTTCCTTGGTTATGCAGAGAAATGATGAATTATTTTCCATTTGGTTTAAAAGTGATATAAACTCCAGTTATTAAAATCTAATTATTGTGCTGTTCTCTTGCCTCCCTATTTGGAGGCATAGTGCGCGATCTAAAGCAAATCTTTTTCGATCTTGTGGTGACTAATTATTTAAAGTGCCTATGACACGAAATTTTTTTTTTGCTTTTTTTGTTTTTTTTTGTTTTGCGTTTTCTGGTTGACAGCTGTATTTAAGATTTTTAAGATTAAGCTAGTTCCCTTTGACCATATTTTTGCGCTTTGAAAGTACGATTTGGCGGCCAAAAAGAATTTCCATTTAGCGCGCGGCCCAAACGATGATGTTAAGTAGCCGTGACGTAGAAAATTGTGAAGACACGCCAGCAATTATGGAGGAGAAAGGAGAAACCAAGAAGAGAGGACGAACGTATTGCGTGGCTGGAGCGCCAAATGATGTTAGGTACAGGAATAATACACTCACACCGGGTATTTCTATGCGCTACCTTCCAAAGTATGTTCCGGCTTTGAAGGCTTCGAACACATACCACTGGTCAAATCAGAGGAATATGACCAATACATTCAGCTAAAAAAAATGGCTACTTTAAGAGCCTGTTCCCCTACCGGACACGATTGTTCCACAATCTGTTCGGCTGACATTTCGCAAGCGAAGAATGGTGGGCGTCATACTGTTATTTATTTCACGCGCTTGAGATGTACACAGTACTCTATTGTCTTGGCAACGCGGTTTTAATTTTTTCATTGCAGCCTTGTAGCATGGTTCCTAGGATAACGTAACAAACTTCCCCGACCCAGGTCCCAGGATGTGCAGTCGTGAACATAAAAAATTGAGCTTTAACTGCTTTTAGAATTGTAAGGATTTATTTAGTTGCCATAATTCTTTCATTGTGATGACCAGTCAAACAAGGAAATCTCTTTAATCGACATACATTTTGGGGGTTAGTGCACTTTAAACAACAAGGAAAACTGCGCATGCCGCTGTAGAGCTTGTCAGACTTTGATCGTTTATAGCAGAGAAATAGCCAAAAGGTAGCCACGAATGTAACTCTGTGGGTAGGAATAACCTGGGTACCGCCACTGAGGGCTCAAACCAGAGAACTGCCATCAGGGCATCTGTATTCGAGCTAATCTTGACAAATGCATATTATTTAATCTTTCGCTACCAAACGGAAGCTGTAAGGTTTCATTGGAAGGCACAAATGTACAGGTCATTAGATAGGCTAGGAACATAGGTATGGGAGAACGACATGTTTTCCTGTCGTAGACCTCTTGAGACTCTTGACGATCCGAAAAGACCGTAATAGGCACGAATAGTAATAGAATCTAATGCGTTAGCGTTACAATATTAAATACCTGAGAGGTTTTGTATCGCTAGTAGAGAGGAACATGATTTTCGTTATTCAAGTTGCTGAAGCGTTGTTAGAAACTGGACCGTGTTAAATTATTACTTGGGTTGACCATACAAGTTTAAATTCACTCTCGTACAATGATCGACCAAAGTAGGCACTTATTTAGCTGGCTGCGTCCAGTAGCGTGTATGACGACATTGTAACCTTCCTAGAAGGCTTCAGCGGCACATACCCATACTTAGGGCGAATGCCTAAATGCCAGTGACCAAAAAGGTATAAATAAGGTATTTACGGTACATAAAGTGACACTAAAATCCAGTGATATTTTCAGTAGATACAGAAATGAATTGTTAGGCGTCTTATCGTGTGGCCCGCGAGAAGAATAGAGCGAGTAAGCAAACGGCACCAATGATCTCGGAACGTATCCGTCTGCTTAGTGTCCATCGTTCTGTGAGGCAGATACCTAAATAACCGTTAAGTTTACCAGTATTTGATCGTCCAATGTTG